GAATTGCAATCAAACTCTCACAGACGACGTAGGAATTTTACAAAGTAGGCTTAGGAAGGCCTACTAGGTCAGGCCATGTATCGGTAGTGTACATGTAGCTAAGTCATGGATATCATGTCGTAGCACTCATCTCGCAATAAATTCGAGCATTCAAACTAATGCTCCACATGGAAAATCTGGACGGCGGGCTGTTTGCGATGACTAATTTTGGTAAGAGAAAAACTGCCTCGCCCTCGCCATGGTCCAAATTTTCTCACCTGATATCTGTTTTCCCATCTGATGCCTTCAACATTTCAGCAACGCGGCTTGCTTCAGCTGCTGGCTAATGTTTTCCAGGAATGCAGGGGTTACCACCCCTGTCAGAAGCGCGCCCGCTAATCTTAGATTGCTGTTTTGACAAAGGACCAAAAGCACGAATCAAGAGGCCTTATACGAACGACCACCAACAGAGGATCGGTGTATGGTGCCATGGTGGCCCTAGAGGACGCGCCACCATGCCGTACGTATCACCAACAATGTCAGCTCCAAATAATACGTCCAATTCGGGAATTATGGCGAGTTGGCTGGCGAGTGGGGGAGGCGGGAAATAAAATTAAATGCCAATGCGTTTGTACTCCACAGATGGGACAGAGATCTAAGAGCGGGAGGGAGGACCCTTGTGAAGGAGGAGCTCAGCTCACCGGTCGAGGTCGAAAATTTCGGTCCCTCGTACACGCACACTCGGCCGTCTTCATCTACCCCCAAGGAGAGTAGGCAGTGGTTGAAGGATTTCATTTCTCAGGGAGAAGGGCGTTCAAGCGATTGCCGTGAAATCTAGATGTGAAATCTAAAAATACGCAATTACGTTGGTAAGCCAAGAGATCCAGCTGGTCTATTTGTGGCGGGGAGGGGATAAGCCGCAGGAGGGATGCTGCAGTGCTACTCTGTACGGTTACCGGCACTGATGCCATGCAGTTGGGACACCGCTTGGCCTCTTATTAGGCCAAAGGGGACTTTGAAACGTGTCCATCGTGAGCTGTTGGTCGGGACAGTGGCATGGGTCGACAACTTGAAGGCCAGCCAGACAGGGGTCGGGATCTTGGAGTCATTGGGCTGAAGGGCTGAAGGGGGGATGATACAGCGTCAGGGATTTAACCACTTGAGACACAAATCCAAACTCTATTTACGACCCCTGGAGCAATTGATGTCCATTGTCGTGTCCAATTTCAGGGAAAATAAGTCAGTAGTTCTGGAGCTGAGAGAGCGTTCGGCTGGTCGGTGCTCTAGATACTGTGGCCTAGTGCAGGCCAGCACGTTTTAATTCCCCAAGTTCCCAATTTCGGCCAGTTGGTCGTGCCTAGATGGGGCCGTGCACTACCCGGGCATGAATCAGTTGGTTGCTAGCCTGGCCTGTTGGTGATCAGTCAAGCGTCTGAGCAAGGGTGAGAGCATCTAGTCTGGCATGATTTTCTCGGTTCCGGCAACATGCTCCCTTTAGACAATCTCGCCAAGGGTGGATCTGGCATTCAGTACAGGGCTGAACAACCTCTTAGTGCATCTTATCTGCCGTTGGCCGTCTGTAATAAGCATCCAAAACACTAGTTGGTCACTGCGCCGCCCTGTGGCCATGTAAGCGATGGCCTTACATGGCCTCAGCTTGGCCGCAAGATTCGGTCCCTATGAATTCTCTGTCGGTGAGATGGAACATCGCGCCGCATGGCCACATAAACTTGATGGATTCTGAGTCTATATAAAGGAGCTTGAACCGCACAGACAATGGGATCTAGACCCTCAACACTCATCAGCACTCACTCTTCTTTCCTAGACTCTCTCACTTTTCCTTGGCTTTCTCTTCGTCAGCTCCCCTTTTCACCCATCTCTTGGTTTCTTATCTTCTTCTCTCGAGTAATTTTCCTTTGGCTCCTGAGACACACCACTCCAACAAACAAAAGACAACTCTTCTCAGCCACAGCTTGACTCTCTTGAATCAGTCAAGATGGTTCGCCCACTCGTCCTAGGTTCCGATGGCGAGTATTACCAGAGCTTCGGTAAAAACGCCAACTGTACCTTGGAGGTCTGCCCTATCGAGGCCACCATCTACAAGTACAACCCGTCCAAGCCTGTTAACACTGCACTCACCGTCATCTTCGGCCTTATCATGATCGGTCACATCTACCTCGGCGTACGATGGAAGACATGGGGCTACATGGTCAGCATGATCCTTGGTTGCCTTCTTGAGATTGCTGGCTATGCTTGCCGAATCGTCTTGCATAAGAACCCATTCAAGTTTTTGCCCTTCGTCGTTCAGACTGTTGCCTTGACCATCGCTCCTATCTTTTATACCGCCGGAATCTACGTCACTCTTTCCGCCAGCATTTCCCACTTTGCCCCTGACCTAACTCGCGTCAAGCCAGTTGTCTGGGTCTGGATCTTCCTCCCCGCCGACATCATCTGCCTCATTCTCCAAGCTGCCGGAGGTGCCATCTCTGTTACAGGCTCCGGTGAAAACTCCTCCGAGGTTGGCAACAAAATCAGCCAGGCGGGCTTGTCCCTCCAGCTGATTGTCCTTGTTGGCTTCATGGCTGCGTTCGGTGACTTCTTCTTTCGCTTCTTCCGCGCCGGCCGCATGCCTCAGATTGAATGGCGTCTGAAAGCCTTCGTCGCCGGTATCACTCTCTCAGTGGTTTTCATTCTCGCCCGTTGTGCCTTCCGTGTGTACGAACTCAAGGAGGGCTACAGCGGCGCCGCTATCACCCACGAAGTTCCCTTCATCATTATGGAGGGTGTTTTCATGATCATTGGCGCCGTTTTCCTCTACATTGGACACCCCGGTCTTGCACTCAAGCCCGGCGAGTCTGCCGCCGAGATCGGTCAGTATGCTGGCAAAGCCTCTGGCTCCGACACCGAGGATTCCGGTTTCCCAAGGTCCAAGGCTTGATTGACGCCTGGGAAGTGTCATTGACCATCGCATCTGCTGACGGCAGCTTGCGCTGGCCCGATAAGCGTCATTCTATCCCCCAGACAGCCTCTCGCTAGCTGTGAACGTCGCAGGTGGACTGCCCTGTCGAAAACAAGCTCTGGGAGCGTTGAATACGACCACTCGACAGGTTCTAGTTTGCCTGTATTAATGATCTGCATTTCTATATTAGTTTGTCTTTTTTTGTTTAGTTTGTTATTTCAATATATCATTCGTTTTTATTCTCAACTTCATGATCGCATGTCGATTTAGTGACTTTTGAATGGATCGTCGAACTCGTATGTTTCGATCAATATCACTGAACAGCCATCCTGCCCAGTTGATGCCTTATGCCACCCTCCTCATGCAGCGAACGCGAGGCAGACCCCTTGGCGCACCAGGGAGCGTTCTGCCTTACTGTCTTTAATCAGCTTTACTACGCCCAGGTCGTCTGGATAAGTCGTTGCTTTGCGACCTTCCAGCGCTAGATGATCGGCATCATCCATCCGCATGGCAGAGCGAACTGTGATTGGACAGGGCTCTCAAGGATCCTCCCAGGAAACTTCGCCGATACTGTGATTGGACAGGGCTTTCAAGGATCCTCCCAGGAAACTTCACCATGCAGCACCTGATACGCAACCCGACCTGTTAACAGCCCCAAGCTGAGTATGTAAAAGTCGCCCTCTCCAGAGTGATCCACACATGCCAGATCTATTTAAGAGATTGATGTCCCAGTCGACAATCAGGTCAAACGTATCACGCCACTCAGACACTTACTGATTCAACTTATCCAGACGCAATATCAAAGCCACAAGAGATATGTCGGTGAACCGAGATGTTTTGCTTCAACCTCGAGGTCTTACTTCTTCAGATATCATCGGGATATCGTTCGGGCTTTTATCTGGTATTTTCGGGCTTGCCGCTTGTGGCATCGCATTTATGGCGTGGCAGTTCCCACGTCTGAGAATTTTCCAATCGATGCGCCGAAGGCTCTCACGGCACCATGAGATCCAAGATGTATGTCATCATCAGAACCAATTCCTCAGGAAATCCTGCGTATCAAAGTAGTGCATCCCGCTCATGGACATGCAGGAACAGAACGAGACTGTACAGGAGCAGGACGAAACCGCGCAGGAGCAGAGTGACACTGGCATGGCTCGTTCGAGAATCGAGAACAGCTACGTTCCTACAGTAACAAATGAAGTGTGTCTAACGGTTTCAGCTTCAACTGAGCATTGAGAAGCTGTGATGATTAAGGAGTATGGGAGCGGAAATCAGCCACATTGGACAAAGAATGGCCGCGTGGTTGGTTGTGGACAACAGGACACCCATGTTTCGTAATCAGCGATATTGAATGTTACTTCCTTCAATGAAGTTTACCAGTCCTAATGCGCCAATCACATATGCGTATGCGAGATGCGACTGATCACGGCAGCGCCTTAATCGAAGCATCACCTCCTTGCACGATATGTCACGCTACAGTCAACTGATGCGTGTATGATGGTATTTATCTACAAGCCATAATAGTATCAGCGTTAGTGATCTCAGTGGACAAGAACGGTTATTTGAATCGCTATGTGCATAATGAAGTGGCGAAATGACTTGTAGGATATCGTTTCTTGTTGCAGAGGCTAGATATAGATATAGGGCCACCCCGCGGCACCGGATTTGGCCACCAAGATTGTGCGTCCGACATGAAGGGCGGGGTAGCATTTCGAATTGGGTAGGTATATATGGATCGACTGGTCTCTGGGCGGACTTTTCATTTATATCCACAAAAGGGAAAGATTAATCGCAGGTGGCAGTAGAGACTAGCAACGCGTGCAGACAGCATCTCGTGTCAACACAAAGGAAAACATGTTGGGATACATTCAGGCGTTCATACTGAATACATATATACTTAATATTAAAATATAATTATAAAATCAATTGCTTATATTTATATACAATATCCCTGTTCCCTATAATATAAGATAAAAAATAACGCCGGTTTGATAGCCCAAAGAATCGAGAGGAGAAGAGAGCAATGGCCGGAATCAAAGCATGTAAGAATAATGAATATTCGCTAAACACTCGTCCCAGTCACCCAGCCGTCTCCCTGTGCAGAAATATACGAAGCCGTTGCCTTCCCCTGTATGTTCAGTGCCCATATTTTCAACGCCGTGACAATCACCATGATAGCCCACCGATCTCCGAGAGATGAATAAAACTGTAAGATAAAGGGCAAGGTCATAGCCCTGCCATCGTGAAACGCGATTGTTGCAACCACTTCTGGTTGCCGGAAGACGCCACCGCTACCCAAACGAACAAGTCTGAATCCGGATTCGAACTGTGGAGGAAGGATGCCTATCTCATGGCTGGTTTCGATCTTACGCCATTCAAAAAATTCACGCCTTAGATCATGGGCGTATCCAACATCGACAGAAAATTGAAAGGTGGCGGTTTCGCGATCGACTGCTGCGCGCAGATCTTCCACGCTGGCTTGATGGGTTCCAGGAAGTGGAGGCATTTGGACGACGCTGTTAAGAGCGTTGTGTGTCGAACCAATCTCATCGGCAGCTTTGGCTAGGACTGGGTGCTTGTTTGTTGGGCCACTATAGAGAGTAACGCCAGGCGGGCTACAACCCCATCCTGACTGGACGCTGACAGCATACAGTGGATGGTCAGATGTCTCTCCTAGATGGAATGTGCCTGTCAGGAGCTTACGCTGGTAGAAACCTTGGAGAACTGGAGGTATTGGATGTTGCAGCGTGGAGGCCGGACGAGCCTCAACCTTGCTATGGAGGATGTTAAGTTTATGGGACAAGTGCATGGCGCCAAGTGATATTGATTTTTGGTCTACAGAGGACGGAATAGACCAGAGAACACTATGCCTTTGATTCATTAGGGTTACCATATCTATTGCTCTAATATTGTTTTATAATAACCATGCCAAGATGATCAGCAGGCGAATACGCGGACACTGACGCTGCTACCGACGATCATCGACACAAACGTACAGCACCGCCTCTGTTATTAATGCGAGGCGAGCGAGCCAATCGCCAGGGGTGAGCAGCTCGTCTGCGCCACACTGATGATGATTGCCTTTGGTTCTTTATAAGCCACTGCAATCGCGGATAATTATAAGCTTTCCTATGCCGCCAACTGGCATTGCCTTGGAGGTCTGATCCGTGTTTACAACAGTCATTGAATATGTCATTGCCATACACCGGAGGCAATCTGGGGAAATCGAACCGATCATTTCAGTGTCTATTCTGATGGTATTCTAATGGATACTACGTTGGATTGCCAGTGACCACCTGATGGTAAACTATTCTCTAAGGATTGGAAGTATATTTCTCCCCGGAAAGACAGCTACTCGTACACTTACAAGCAATACCATGGATCCCTCTTCTTTTATGCAGCCTTCGATGGCGCCAGCGAAACAAGCCTGCCAATTCCAGTAAACTCCGCCGCTTCATCTAATGCGTTCTTCCAGTCCTCCAGCGGATACGTCTTGATGTCCGCGAAATCCTCTCCTCTTGGGAAGCGTCCAGCGTGCAGCATCTTGCTAAAGAGCAGCATATCCTCTCTCTCATACATCAGTTTCCCCTTGAGAGTGATGTTCTTGCTGATAAAACTCCACGAGTCTATAGGAAAATCGGAGCCGACAAAGCCCATTAGACTCGCTCGGCCATTGCGTCGGAGAGTGGACAAGGCACTCTTTAGATGAGTCGACTTTGCCGCGACCGCCATGGGCGGCGAGAAGTCCAGCACCGCGTCGATTGGACCAAACGCCTGTAGAGAGGCAGTGTCGACAGCCTGGTCGCCCGAGATCCTGACAGTCTCAATTCTGGCTGACGGGGTGCCCTTTTTCACGTGTGCTTTCAACCTTGCCAGTTCTGCCTCGTTGCGGCCCATGGCAATCACTGTCGCGCCAATGGCGACAGCCGTCTGAACAGCAGCACCTCCATATGGGCCGGTGGCTGGGCTGATGATGACTATCTCCCCGGGCTGGAGATTGATATCGCGGAATCCGCCGAATGGAACAATGAGCCAGCCCATGTACATCAACTGCTCGAGTGTATAGCCCAGCTCTTCGCAGAGTCGTGCCTCGTCTAGTGGAATGCAGTTTTCCAGAGGTGCTGACAGATACTCAGCGAATGGGCCGTTTCGCCAAACATCCCTTGCCAGCTTCTGGCTCCCCTCGGTTCCGCCGTGGTGAATGGCCGTGAGGAAGCGGTGATCAGGGTCATCGCGGCCGTATATGACGCAGTCCGCGTAGACCAACTGGCCAACCTTCAGGGACGTGGCATCGGGTCCCAACGCAACGACGCGGCCGATGGAACTGCACCCGCCCACGATGGGCTTGGGGAAGTCGTATTTGCGGACTCCGTTGTAGATCTCGCGGTGGTAGGATAGAATGCCCGCCTGCTCGACTTTTATAACGGCGCTGCCATGGATGGGTTGGGGGGTTGGAATCTGTTTGAGTTCGAAGCCAGCACCGACAGTTTCGAGGACCAGAGCGCGGTGCTGAGACGGGAGGATGTCTTGGGGGGACATTTTGATATGTAAAATTTCGGTAGAGGTAATAAAACACTGTGATGTTGATTTGAGGTGTTGGGAACTAGTAACTGTTGATCGAAACAGCAAGACTTCAAGCTGCTCTTATATACATAGACAATTATGGGCAATTCTATTTGAACAACTTCATATTATTTCTTTCCAGTCTATAAGCATGATGATCACGATAAGGCAATACACCGATAGGCCCTCGGAGTAGTTGTGATCTCAACTTAATCAATAACAGGAGGATTGAATATAGCGATATATCCGCGGAGATAAGATACTATTAATAACTCTCTCCTGTTATCTTACTTTTCCAGTTAGAGCTATTAGTACTCTACTATAAGATTATATATATTATACTAATAGGAAATTCCCTATACCCCTATAGCTTTTTAGCCCTTTCTATATACTATTATAGCTAATATATTACCTATATTATTCTCTAACTTAGAGCTAGAGCTCCTACTATTTAGAAATATTAAATACCAGTTTCTAATATTTACCTATTATAATATCTTATTATTACTAGTAGGTTTAACTTTATCTATAAAGTATAAATATATTTTATTTTTACTATTTTAATAAGATAGAGATATAATCCCTTTTATTATACCTCTAACTGCTCCTAATATTAAAAATCTATTCTTAACTCTATTACTCTTATTTATAATCTTAGCTATTCTAGATCTAGATACTATAGATACTATATCTAAGGAATATCTATTTCTATTTAATCTAAATATAAATATAAATATAAATATAAGTACTAGAACCCTTATTATACTAAAGACTTTAGATAATAATTAATATCTAGATCCTTATTTAGAACCTACTCTAGATTTATACTTCTATTTAAATAAAACCCTAAATATACTCCTTATATATTAAATTACTAAATATATAATTTATATTACTACTATTACTATAGTTAGGACCTTTCTATAGAAGCTAGATAGTACTTTTAAAACTAATCTTATTATTAATAACTTCTTTTAGACCTTTATAATTACTCTCTTATAAACTATAGTTAAAAGATAAGCTTCTATATAAGAGAATTCTAATTCTAATAAATAAGAAAGACTTATAGTAGTAAAAGCTTTCTAAACCTAAGTTTAAGCTCTAGCTAGATATCTTACTAATTTAATTTATACTCTAAATAACTCCTATACCTAAGCTACTTATTATAATATCTTCTAGATATTCTTTACCTCTCTTAGTAGAAAATAGATTATTAGAAAAGTACTAATAATAATTAGAAAGATAGTTTTAGTTACTAGATAAACTCCTAGTTCTTTTAAATAATAATAGTATCTAGAGTATAAAGAGTAAGAGTCTATAGATAATAGAGTTTTTTTATAATTTATAGAGAATAACCCCCTTTAAGAATAATATTCTATAGCTATTAGAATATAAGTTATCTAAATATATAATCTTCTAAGTAAAGATATTATATAAATATATTAGGTTCTATCTAGCTTTATATTTACCTCTATATCTAATAAAGTTAGATAAACCCTTCTTAATAATTATATTATACTTTATAATAAGTTTAATACTTTAAATATTAAAGAATTAAAAGTATAATTTACTTATATTATTCTATTTATCCTAGACTCTTTTAAAATAAATTTTAATTCTCTTAATATTATTCTAATTATTAAAAATAAAATCTTTATCTAAATAGAATAATACTCTATTAAACTTATTAAAAGAAAGTTCTATATTTTATCTCTTAAAAAATCCTTTTAATATATTAGCTTTAAAGCTCTAATATAGAGATTTTATCTTTTTAATACTAATAAGTTCTTTAAACTCAGAGGAAGAAAATAATCCCTTTCTAAATATAATAAATATTTCTTTTAGTATCTAGAAGAAATTTATTATTAGTTCTAGTTTTATCCTAACTATAGTTACTCTAAGTATAAAAATAAACCTATATATTATTTTATTCTAAAGTATCTAAATTATAAAACTCTAGGAAACTTCCTTTATAAAAATTACCCTTTTAAACTAATCTAATAAAAATATATCCTTAAAAAACTAACCTTAAGCTAGAAGAAGAAAATATAAAATAAAAATAAAGCTCTATATTTAGTAATAATTAAGAAGGCTGAATAAATAGTTCTAAATATTATAAAAACTACTTTAATTACTACTATTACTCTATCTACCCCTATTAATAATATACTAGTTCCTAAGATCCCTAGGATTTTTATTATTACTATTTAGAATCCTTCTCTTCTTAGAATAACTATTACTATCTAGTCTAGATCTTAGATCTTAATAACTTTTACTCTAATCCCCTAGCTAGTATAGAATAAGAATATAATTATTATTAATACCCTTAAAATCCTTTTCTCTCTAGCTAGTAATCTATATATAGAGAGAATCTTTATAGTTATTAGATAACTCCTATTTAATATATCCTACCCTGAACTATATATCTTATTTTAAAAAACCTCTTTAACTAGTTTAAATCTATATATATCTTTAAAATCTATTTAGAAGCTTAATAATCTAGCTAAACTAACTATTTAGTTTAATTTAAACTCTTAAACTATTATTAAACCCTAGTTTAATAAATAGAATAGAAAGAAGAAAAACTAAACTAAATATACTTTATACTAACTACTATATAGATAGAGATAATTATAAAGTTATTCTAAATACTAAGTATATAGTAGGAACTAACTTAATACTAATTATAGATTTATACTATATAAAAGCCCTACTTAATAGAACTATTATATACTCTACTTATAATATCTTTTTATTTATTTAGATCTAGAATAGTAAAAGTAAAACTCTAGATATTATTATTTATATCTATATAAATAGAAATCTTAATCTAGTCTTAATTAACCTCCTACTATATAGAGATATTATAGGAGTTAAAATTAGTAAATATATTATTATTTATATTTATTAATACTCTAAAAATAATAAAGTTTTTAATATACTTAAAAGCTTTATCTTTCTATCTAATACTATTATTATTAGGAATTAAAATACTAAAAGTTATTAGTAAAAATCTAGATTATAAAACCTAAATAGGAAAGAAAGAGTTACTATCTTCTTTAAAGAAAGATAGTTATAGCTTTTAAATATATCTAGTATTCCTATATATAATAAGGAATATATTCTTAATCTAGCTATATTTAATATTCTGCTTATTAAAGTAGAGATTATAGGGTATATATATACTAGCTTAGATTATAAATCTCTTTTTATTACTTTTCCTACTATTTACTAGAAGCTTTCTCCTCTAGTATACTATCTCCCTATTAAGAAGGAAGAAGAGTATACTAAAGGAGTAATTAAATTAGTTATCCTTCTTCTAGAAGAGATTAAGAATAAAGCTACTTTAAACTTTTTTATTAAAGTATTATTCTTTATCCTTATATAACTACTAAAGATTATAAAGAGAAGATAGAGAAAGAATAGTAGATTAATATAATACTAGAATAATAATTATAAATATACTATATAGCTATATTAATACTACTAGGCTTAGAACTCTAATAGGAAAAAAATAGTAGAATAAAGAAAGACTTTATATTATATAGTTAAAAAGACTAAGTATAACTTTAACTAAAGTATTTTATAAAGAATATAAAACTCTAAAGATATCTATAGAATTATAAATTAGTATAAATCTTACTTTTAGTTCTAACTTTCTCTATTAAAAATTAATAAAAAGCTTATTTAGAACTTAAAAGAAAAGAAAAAAACTCTATATATAATACTTCTAGATAGATTAGACTACTTATAAAACTTTAGTTCTAATAATCTACTCTCTTACCTATAGTATAATATCCCTTAGAATAAGAAATATTCTCTAGAAGAAGTTAAATAGATACTCTTTAGTATAAATAATATCTTATTAGAATAGAATAGAATTACTATCTAGATACTAAGAGTAGTTTAGTTTATAATTTACTATACTATCTAATACTTCTATTAGAAATATATTAAACTCAGATATTATTTATCTATTTTTAAGATTATAAAGATAATTATAATCCCTAAGTTTAATAAGAATTAAAATATACTAAAAAACTAAAAGCTAATTTTTCTTTTATTCTATTTAAATAAGAATCTAGAGTAACTAATTATAAGAAGAATAGTATATCTTACTATAGAGTATAAGGTTATTCTACTTTAGATTATTAATACTCTCTTTAAAAAATTAGTAAATAATATTATTCTTTTAATAACTTATATAGTAGAGAATATTTTTAGTAGGGAACTAGTTATCTTAATAGTTATTATAGATATAGAAGAAGCTTTTAATATTACCCTATCTTATAAACTATATTATATAATAACTACTTAGAGCTAGAAATAGAATATTTATAACTAGGCTTTTAGCTTTTATTTTAATAGATTAATAAAAGTAAGAATAGAAAGTATTATAATAGATATTATCCTAATCTAAGGTAGCTCTCTATAAAACTCTTTAGTTTCTCTAGTTCTTTATTTACTATATACTATAGTAATTAGGATTAATAAAGATATATATCTCTTTAGATATATAGATAACTATCTACTAATAGTAATTAGTAAAACTCTTAAAGAAATCTTTATAAAACTCTAAGAGTAATTTATAAAACTAATAGAATATAGTAACTTTATTAGTATTAAGTTTAAATTAAATAAAACTAAGATTATTTATTTTATTAGAATCTAGAAGCTATATCTTCTAAGTATAACTTATAATAAGTTTATAATTAAACTAAAGAAATCTACTTACTAATTAGAAATCTAATTAAATTATAAACTAAACTTTTACTTATATATTAATTAGAAGATAGATAATATAAAGAAAGTTATTAACTATATTAAAGCTTTAAATAAAATTATATATAATACCCCTTTAGATATTATATAAAAGATAATTTACTTAATTATTCTTTTTAAAGCTCTCTTTAGAACTAAGATCTAATACTCTAGAAAAATAAAAATAATTAGAAGGAAAGATCTAGAAATAGAAAACTAGATCTAGAGATAGTCTAAGCTTATTAGTAAATAAAATAAAATATAAAAAGTACTTAATATTATAATAAAAGAATATCTTCTAATCTAGAGTATTACTCTAAATTATACTCTATATAGAGAAACTAGTATACTACTAGTAGAGATTTTTCTTAAAAGAGTTTAGTAATAATATATTATCTAAATAAACTAGTTTAACTAGAAATACTTATTAATTTAGTAGCTTAATAATAAATAAGATAACTAAAGCTAGAAATACTTCTATACTTCTATAAACCTAATTAATATAGTAGTACTTATTAAAATACTATTTTACCTATTACTCTAGCTATTAATCTTTTTAAATAAACCCCTATTACTTTATAAAGATAAAAAAACTATTACTAAGGAATTTATAAACTAAATCTCTTATAGAATTTCTATTAATATTACTATATATACTAATAGCTCTAAACTTTTAGGAATAGATTTAAAAGAGTATATAGATATTAGTTTTAAATATACTATCTTTAAAGAATAAAATCTTATTTACTTAGAGTTCTAAGTACTATATAAAATAGAAGTATTTAATATAGAGATAGAGAGAGCTATAAAAGATCTAATTAAAGCTATAGAACTATTTCTATTCTTCTATATTATATTCTATCTTAATAACTTAGCTATAGTTTACTATCTCTATAATATACTAATCTTCTCTTTATAAATAGTTTTTTATAGATTTAGATTAATTACTTTCTTTTATATAGTAGGTATTAAGATCTATTAGGTATTAGGATACTTTAATATCCCTAGGAATAAGATTATTAATAAACTAGTAAAGATAGAAGTAAATCTTACTCCTTTATATTATCTAGCTCTAACTATAAACTATACTAAGTATAGAACTAAAGTATAATATAAGAAGGATTAGATAAGATAGTAGAAGCTAAACTAATTAAAAAGCTATTTAAAATTAGAACTTTATACTAATCTTAAAGGTAATAAAGAGTTTATACTATCTAGATCTTTTCTCTACTATCTATTAATAGTTAGAACTCTTTATAGGGACTTTATTAGCTACTATAAATACTAGAAGTATCTAGATATATACTTTAAGTATATCTATAGTAAAAGAAAGACTCTAATATATATCTTCTATTATAAGCTAATTAGACTACTTTAGATAAATAGTACTTATAGTATAAATATAGCTTTTAACTATAGCTAGTAAGTATTTATAAAAAGGGTATATAATATAGATTACTTCTACCTTAAGTATTTACTACCTAAGGAAATATAGCTCTCTCTCTCTCTTTCTCTCTCTCTCTCTCTTTCTCTTTCTCTCTTTATTATTTATTTCCTTTATTTTATCTAATAGTTATAGGAATATCTACCTAATATAATCTTTAAAGATAGCTAGATATACTATCTTAGTATAAGCTTAGTAAGAATAAGAATATCTATACCTTTCCTATATCTAAAACCCTAACTACTCTTTTCTATCTTTATATATTTAGTAGTAAATAGCCCTAGGTAGATATTCTTTACCCTAATAAAGGATTTACTGATATAAAATAATAATAATAATAATAATAATAATAATTAAGATACTATTAATCTGTACTGATGAAGCCGCGGAGACCACAGAAATAACTGTGTCCGCGGGCTTTAGGTCGCAATTTGTCGGTATGTGCAAAGAATACACATGTTATAGTAAACACTCAAAGCTCATATATCCGATCATCGTTGTCAATTGCATCTCTGCTGTCCTTGGCTGTCCTAGACTACCAAAAAGAATGGCCAACCGTCCCATGTGCCATGAGGTCATCAAATCGCCAAATGTCATCGAAGTCAAGAAATTCCAGGTTGTCTCCAGGGTGTAGAAAGTCGCCGGAGTTACCGTTCGGTCCAGCATCTAGTGCCTGTAAGCCGGAGGAGCCTTCGAGCAGTGAGTAGGATGACTCTAGGCTTGCTTTCCCGTGCTGTGCCATGCTCTGCTGCAGTGCGATTCCCGTTTCTGCCCCTTCCGCCTGCCCTAATATCATGCATATCTTCATATGTAACTTCATACTTGTGTCGCAAAGTTGAACCCTTTGCTCCCACTGCCGACGCGTCTCCTCAACCCCCGTCATTAGCATTTTCCTGTAGCTACAAGGTTCTTCTGGAGGCTGACTCCCGTCATGCTCGTCTATCTCTACCAGTAGTTCCATCAACAGTGTCAGCGTGACATGGATTAGGCGATGCTTAAATATCCCTCCACCCAGCATGCAAAGATGGGAAAACCCTTCATCTCGAGGTGGTGAAAGCAGGGCCATTGCCACATCGAGGCTCTGCTTTCTCGAAGAGAAGAACAAGGTGGTTTTACGAGCCCGGTCTACCCAGGGACGATGCAGAGGAATTAGAAAGCGACGGAGGAGAAGATCTCCCATATTCCGCCTAAACACTTCCCCGCCGTCAGAGACGGCCCTTTTTGTAAGGGTGAAGCAACGACGACAAGCGTCCATGATTACGGAATTTAACCTCATGACCTCTTCATAGTCTACTTCCTTGCGCGCGCTGTTCATGCAGCGAACTATCTCGACTCGTGGCCTCAGAACAGTGAGAATATGGCGCTGTAGTGATGCATCTGTCACTGTGTCATCTGGGCGCTGTTCCAATTCGTATATCTCGTCGTGCAGGTCTTCGTCGTTGCAATTCGATGGTGGTTCTGTATCAAAATCATCAAAGGAAATTGCAGGCAGAGAGCCTGCATCCAGAGCTGCCTGTACATTCATCTCCAGGATCGTGGCCCACAATCTTCTCCGAATTTCACTATGCCTAGTACAAAATTCCGCTGTCAGCATTCCGAGAGCCTATCATCATTCACGACCAGGGGCGTTTGCTTACAATATCGTTATCTTCTTGAAATGCCGAGGATCCCGATGAAGACCCATATGCATCGCTGTTCGGACAACTGTGCCCATCGTCACCCAGACTAGATCTCCCCCTACGTTGAGAACTTGTCGGGCAAGAATCAACAAGCACTGGATCTGCAACCCGCTGATACTAATCCTGTTCTTCTCCAACGGCCCGGATATCCATCTCTGCGCGTCATGTACTGTCTGAGCCGCTGCTGAACGGAGACCCTGCGTACTATGTGCCTCAGGACACAGGCTGGATCCAATAGCTACAACTAGTTGTACTTTGATCCTGATAGCATCCGGCGTGTCTAGCGGATTGCTCCAATACTGCCCATACTCGTCCCAGAAGGAGGGTACGTGGACAATCCTAAAGACCGACTCAAACCGCGAAACGTAGAGCTGCGCCATCTGGTCCGCGACAGCCTTGGAGGGCAGGCTCATGTCGGGACTGGGCAAGTATCTACCGGGTTGGGACGACTTCAAACTCTTAGCGAGTGTTTTATACTTTAGTACAGTAGCCCGCATGTCTAACTTCAAGCGCCTGGTGATTTCATTCTCTGCAGCACAATCCGACTCCGCGTTGAGGAACGCGGATATGTTTCTAAACTGTGGTTTTTCTTTGTTTCAGTCGAGCCCTAGCCATCGGGAAACTTTGCAGCGTACAATGTGGCTTCCATCTGACCAGTGAGTCTTCCCGTACAAGCTCGACTTCCGGAAGGAGAAGGAATCTCCGTTGCAGGCGGGCGCCGAGTGGCTCGATGATGCCTCGTCTAGTTTCTCGAGGGCCCACGCCGGAGCAAACGACCGGGCCATCTGCTCCAGTGCGCAGAGTCGACGTTCCAGCTCGGCTGGGTCTTGTTTCGTATTCGGTGTCGGGTCAGGCGAGGTCGGCATCGTCTCCTCGCTGGTATGCTTTTCGTTTGTTTCGGGTGTCGGATGCCTAGGGTCTGGTTGTTGCACAGTGCCATCACGGGAGCTGTTCGTGGTGAGTGGCGTAACTGATCGCCGGCCGTTCGCTCTAGCCGATGGAGTCTTGGGACTATAGAGGCATGGTATCTTCCACAGTACGCAGTGACAGCATGGGTCTTTACGATCGCACTTGACTTTCCGCCGGCGGCATTCGATACAGGAAAGGGGGGGCCGTCGACGTTGGCGCCGAGGTTGGCTGGAAGGCTGGTTTTGAGGGGGCATCCCGATGCAGAAAGAATATCCAATGATATAATAATAATTAACAATGATTCAGATCCGGCTCGATATTTGTGGGAAAGACAAGACCACGGACGGGAGCGTGTCGGCTTAATAGTTAGTTCACTTCCGCGGCTCTAAGCGAGCATTATCTCCGCCATGTTCCAAAGTCCGGGGTACAGCAATTTGGATACATAAACGCCGCTCGGTGCCGGACAAATTTCCTTAAATTCCAGCTTAGTCAAGTTCTAGACTGCCCGAGTCCGCGGGCGAACGTTATTATCGTATCTCGGAGGCTGCATCTTTTCCCGGCATCACGCGATGGCGATGCATCTCAGTGGTAAGTTTGCATGTCCGGACGGAAACTCCGCCCCCTTTCTATCATTAAGTAGCCATCGAACGGTCCGGTAGGCCCATGGCAAGCGGCACTCCGGTCGAATGAACTCCGGAAGGTCCGGTCAGGGCCGTCTGTAAACAAGAAAGCATTTTCCCCATTAGGACAAGCGAAGTGGAATAGAACAGCGAACAGCGTAACTTGGCCGAAGCTCACGCATAACACCGAGTCCGAGATCGCGATCTTAGCACCATGCATCTTGAATAGATGTAGGGGCATTTGGATCCTAAGACCGCAATTCCGGTGCACCGATATCTCGAAAGTGCCGCTAGCATGCAAATGCATGGACTCAAGACATATATGATAGAGACTCCACGCAGGAAGATGTTTCACCTCATCTTTCTATACTGTCTTCAAAGAATAAAGTGCACTTTCTTGTTTCTCAACAAGAAGATTTTCTTATTCTAGGAACCCCAAGAAAGGCTGACTAGAATGCCTCTGTAATGTGTGATTAGCATGGTAATCAACCTGTCAGCATCAGACTTCCCTGGGCGCCTCCCATCAGCCAATGAGCATTTACCCACGGATTCCGGACAAGTAGCGCTCAATACGATATCCTACAAGTTGATAGCTCCGAACGGCATCAAGAACTTCGACTTTCCCCATAAATGTCCCCCAATAGTGGTATTAGTGCCCAACTGCGTAATTAGTAGACATTAATAGTAGCCCATAGACAATCTCATGCAAGGCAAGGTCAAATGGGCAGTAGGCTGACTACACGTTTTTGATAGTACTGTTACCGTAGGGCCGAAATTTGGATGTTTTTTTTTTTTTTTTTTTTGGAACATCTGACCCTGCCAGCTGACGATTTGTTACTCCTTCTTGTATTCCCCTGAACGGAAGATTTTAGTGAGCAGTCTTCGATCAAGAGATACCTTCGAGCTGAAACTATTCTAGATATCACCACGCTTCTTTGGAACCTTACTGCTTTCTCGCAAGATTCCATAGTCCCAAGCTTTCCAGGCCTCCGACCAACTGGATCTAGGTAAGCCATCTAGAGTGAGACTTTGTGATTCCAAGTTCCGAAAATCAACAAAAGTCAATGAAAGTAGAAGATTCGGATCGATCTATTTCAACGATACCATTTCTCCCCTCAGCATCGACTTCCGATCCTGGAGATGAATTCGACCCTTGAGTGGGGTTATCGAGTGAGTCAACCTACCTCTAGACTCTACCGCAATTACCTAAAACCAACATGGCGTTGGCAAGAGTTTGCGATCAAGACCCGCCAATCCAATAGTTTCATCCAGCCGATTGGTTTCTGGTTATGCCTGATCCAGTACACCTGCATGTCGTTGAAAGAACTACTCCGTTTTAAGCACCGCTTGACGATTGAGTCATCAGCCTCAAAGCTGAGAAAATTGCCTCAGAGCTCACGCGTCCACTTCTTCCATGTTTTCGACCGCAATATAAATACTCTCTCCCAAGTATACTCGTAGCTCCCAAAGGTTCCGTCATCGTATTCCAACGTACCTCACTGCTGAGTCTAAACACTATACATTGACTTTGCCATTTCTTTTAAAGATGAGTTTGAATCCCTCTCCCATTTCTCCCTCTGTGCTAGATATCATTGGCAATACGCCAGTAATACAGCTCACGAGTGTAGTCCCCGAGAACAGCGCCGATGTTTTCGTTAAACTGGAATGCTTCAACCCGACGGGGTCATACAAAGATCGAATGGCAAAATCCATGATCGAGCAAGCAGAACATCGTGGAGACCTAAAACCAGGCATGACGGTTGTTGAAGCGACTGGCGGCAGCACAGGCGCATCTCTGGCCTTCATCTGCGCCCTCAAGTGTTATCCGTTTCTAGCGCTCGCAGCCGATTCGATCGCGCCCGAGAAACTGCGTACAATGAGTGCTTTTGGTGCAAAGCTCGAAATCACACATAGCCCGTCGGGGAAAACAACGCCGGATCTGATGGCATCTATGAAGCGGAAGGCCGCCGAGCTTGGGTCTCGGGATGAGTATCTCTATACCGACCAGTTTTCCAACCGGGATGCACTCATAGGATACGCTCAAATTGGCCACGAATTAGTCAAGCAACTTCCAACGGGGTTTGATGTATTTTGTGGTGCTTTTGGCACTGCAGGTATGACCATGGGTGCGTCTAGCGTTATCAAGGCTCGTGACCCGAAAACTCGAGTCATCCTACTCGAGCCGGAATCTGCGGCTCTACTGGCAAAGGGCCAAAGTGGTCCGCATAATGTCGATGGCACTGCGCCAGGTTTCATCTCGACTCATGTTGACCGGGAGTTGTACGACGAGGTCCGCACGGTTGACGAGCTGGACGCCCGAGCTATGTGCCGCCGTCTAGCAAAGGAAGAAGGGCTTTTAGTTGGAACCTCATCAGGGCTGAACATTGCTGCTGCCATTGAGCTGGCTAAAGAACTTGGTCCCGGGAAGAGAGTGGTCACAGTTGCTTGCGACACTGGGCTGAAATATCTAAATGGCTCTCTTTTCTCAGAGGACTCGGAGTAGCTAATACATTTTCACTGAACATGGACGGGTCGTTCTGAATTTTGATGATAGGTTGTCCAATAGCGAAACATGGACAGGCAGTTGTCTCTACTCAGACTCAAATACCTGAATTTGTTTCATTTTCCAATTCGTATTCATTCTGTTAAGATGTCGGGACTGGCATCTTCTATTGCTGTTTCTTTTTCTGTATGCTCGAAACCTCATCGGTAAGTGGCAATTTGCAGACGGTTTCAGAGTACGATGTGAAGCCCAACTCTCGGTTTTATTCCAAGGCGCATCGCGGTCATGTCATATATTTGACGGTATCTAGAGGTTTTCTAGCCCGCCCATAGGGCGAGCACTCTCGATCGTTCAAGGAGTTAGAGGGAGTGGAGTAAGCTTGGATGAGCACGCCATTGCTGAAACAAATTGCGTGCGCCTCGTTCAAGCCAGTCAGTCAAATAAAACATCACAGCCCGTTCAACCTCAACCCAGGCCCGGCGATTCGCGTGCTGCGCTGGGTATGAGAGACTGGCCCTAGCTTGTGGGATGGAACTGCAAGGCCGAGCCCCGGCTGTTTGGTCTGAGCCAGCTGCCGCCTCCAGCTCGAATCCGCTATCCAGGTCCGAGATCACGGATCCCTCGCAGTCAGAAGGCTCAACCGTGGACGCAGCCGAGGTGCGCACAAACAAGAGGCATCTTGTCGACGGCAGCACCGCTCGCTATCCCCGGAAACGAGGGGCGACTGCATGCCATCTCTGCCGGGTTCGCAAGACAAAGTGTGACAATGCCCGCCCGGCCTGCGGGTCGTGCGTCCAGCACAAGGCTGAGTGCGTCTACGGCAGCTCGACGGAGGCAAAAATACCCTTTGATGCTGCCAGCGAGGAGATCTTGAGCCGTCTCAGTGTCATACAGTCGCTTCTTTCACACGCAGGCAAACCGGTGTCTCCCATTATGGCTAGTAGTGCCACGGCTTGCTATGACCATCCGTGGCCCGCCCCTAATGTACATCAAGGCTTTGCTATAAAAACATCATCGCCGCCGAGACTAGTGAGTGATACACTACGGACGCAGGGATATTACGCAACGGTCTTGTCAGCGACGCGATGCGAGACATTACTGCGTTGGCCAGTCTTTGAAGATGTGCTTTCTGCCAGGGACTCCAAGACTGAGTCGTTCCTCCTCGATTGGATCTCGGACCAAGATGAGCTCCCCAATCTTGAAGCGCCGGGGCATCAACCGTCTTCAACGCCCGAGGCGCCGAATGCCCAAGAGAAGAGGCAGCACCAGGTTCATGTGGCTGATTATGTGAGCCTGTGCCACACATTCCTCTCAACAATACACAGGAGAAATCCGATTCTCGATGGCGATGTGTTGATAGAATCTGCTCGTCATGTCATGGCACACGGCCTGGGATGGGATACGAGAGGCTGTCTGGTGGTGAGTCATTTGTGTGGCGTGGATCCGAGACGACCAGCTGGGCGCTGACGTTGATGTAGCTCCTCGCTTCTGCTTTAGCACACTGTGGCTTGTCCCATTCACTTGAGGGTAGACCACAGTCTGACCAAGTCGAATCGACCTCTGAGGGTGTAGGAAAGAGTTTGGTAGCGGAAGCGTTTTACACAGAAGCAAAAAAGAGGATTGGCTTCTTGAGATCTTCCATTGCTGATATCCAGTGCTTGTTCCTCGCCTCCATGTACGAAAAGCTCACACTGAATATTATCAAGGCGTGGGAATACATTAAAGACGCCTGCTCCCGTCTCCAGACGTACCTGGCACGTTGTCGACGGATGCCACATAAGCAACGCCCCGATCATCTAGAGCCACGAATATTCTGGTCGTGTATGAAGGCAGAAAGGTTAGTCTCAAAGCTTTTCCTACGCATGCTTTTAGTACCTAACGCATTCGGCAGCGACTTGGTGGCAGAACTCCCGCTGCAGTCGAGTGGTATTGAGAACTTCGAGTACCCTTATCTGTTCCCAACTCCGCCGCCTAGCTCAGGCACACCTTCGCCCTACAGTGGTTTGGTTGCCTCAAAAGGAGGCCAAAATCATAGAATAGTGAGTGAGGAGGAGAGCTGGTTCTTCTATACTGCAGATATATCCTTCAGACGGATTCTGAATCAGCATCTGAAAGTGCTCTACACCGGGGCTGAGGCTGAGTGGATGGAGGATATAAACCTTGCTTTCGCCCGGTTTACCGAATGCGAAAAGCAGATTGAAGTTTGGTGAGTCTCTGTCCATTATGTAGCTATTCCACCCATATCCCCTGGTCTGATGCTAATTCTCAAACATGGTTCGTGAAGGTACCGCCATCTCCCACCCGTAATACAAAGTGGCTTTGAAGGGCAACCAGATAATGAGCTCTCGCTGTTTCTCAAGGGCCGCTTTCAGGGTTGGCGTGAGCTTATCCGCCGACCTTTCCTCTACTACGCACTTCATCACAGTTCCGTCGAACCCGCAGACTCGCGGGTGCTGACGCTGGCCACGGAAAGCCTTCACATCTGCGCAAGTCTGATTCATCACTACTTTCCGCAAAGTCGCCACGGAGGTACCTGGTTCATCGCGCGAAGGACCTTTACCTGCTCGATCTTGATTCTGGCTGCCGTCTTCGCCGATCGGAAGGATGTGCAGCCGCCAGACGACTGGCTCGCCACATTGCAGGTGGCTATCAATTTCTTAAAAAGGTGGGAGACTGAAGCATGCGACATTGCAAGAATGCGCGCTATACTTTGCAAACTTGTTGATGAGGCATGCCGAAAAGTAGGAGCAAGAGCAACGGGACGGTGAACGTTCTGAGCCCTCCACCAAATACTGGGAACAACTGTTCATGGGACATCTTTCAAGAAGGATGCATAGGCAAACATGTATTACAGATAGCCATAATTAAAAGACTTTAATTGAATAAATGGGCTATAGCGTGGGCTCTATTGCGTTCCTCCGGCTCGTTCATTCGGCCATCCCAGCGGTAGCTATCACTTAGAGGTTTGACATAAGACTTTAGTTTAACACACCATTCAAGTCCCTCTACGTTATAATGACAATTGATTTCCTATACTTTCTCCTTGATCTCCATTTCGATCTCGGCTTGGGTGGTGGTCGTGTCGCCAAACTTGCGGAGTGGAACACCTCGGGCGAACAGCTCGTCTATTTCTTCGAGCGACTTGCCCTTGCACTCGGGAACGAAAAAGTAGGAGAAAATAATGGCGAGGAGTGCAAACGACCCGAATATGAATCCGACCTTGGAGCCCAAGTTGGCATACGGCGCGTAGAGTAGATAAGGAATGCAGAACGAGATGACAAACTGCACGAGGATGTTGAACGAGGAGCCGAACGAGTAGGTGACATCTCTTAGCCGGGAGGATGGAATCTCCGCCGCGACAATATGAGATATGGGCGCCCAGCCTAGACAGAAGCCAACGCCGAATATCGTTGTCATGACCGCGATTGCAACTCGGATGTGGTAGCCTGGGTTGGCGATTGTTCCGAGGCCGCCCATGGTGAACAGAGCTGCTGTTTGTATCACGGCGCCAATGAGTAAGAGTGGCCTGCATTGATCGCGGGTCAGCCATCACAAGTGACCTTGCGGCACAGGCCATCTAGGATTTTGAGAAATAATGTACCTCCGTCCTACTCGGTCTGTCAAGAATTGTGACAAAAGCGTGATGACAGCATTGACTGCGGTGTTGATGGTGGTCATGGTGAACGCATTTACTCCGTCTAATCCAGACATGAAGACTGCCCCGTAGATTGTGACAAAGATGTTGCCCGTCAACTGTAGGAACAAGTTGACTCCCACTGAGACCAAGGTACGCTTAAGATTTGCTGGAAATTTGGTTAGTATTAGAAATATGCCTGCGACCATTCCAGATCACTCACTGCCTCGGAACATCTCAGCAAAACCCCCCTTCTCAACTGACGCGCTTGAAGTGATGGTTTCCAAATCCTGAAATTCCTTTTCAATCTCTTCGTCGGAAAAGGCACCCTTCCGCAGTCGGATAAGGCACTGGTATGCATCCTCGCGACGACCCTTTAGCAAGAGCCAGCGGGGTGACTGTAGCAACTTCTTAGCATCGAGTCATTCGGGATGGTGGATTTAAGTCTCTTGCGATGACCGGAAGAGCTGGAAAGCAGCCGTACCTCGTCGGTAAACCAGACGCCACACGCGACAATCGTGGGCACAATGAAGAAGAGACCGAATGGGATGCGCCAGGAATCATGGCCTTGGATATCACTGGTGCCGCGACAGACTACTGCCATAATGAGACTGCCAACCTGTTCCCATAGGTGTCAGCTAATTGTATGGCAAATAGGCAATAGACAATATGGTTGGACGAACTCACCAATATCCCGGATTGATACGTGCCCACGACAAACCCGCGAACGTGCTTTGGTACCAATTCAGATTGCAGGACTGGTATAACTGCGAGTTCCATTCCGATATACACGTACGCAATGATGCGCCCAGCGAGGATCTGCTCTCTGTTCTCAGCCGTGAGTATAGTAATGGCGGCAACGATGGCCCAGATACACATGGTAAACAGGGAAACGCGCCGCCCAAATCGACGGCTGATGAAACTCCCGGACACCAAGCCAAACGCGAAGCCGATGTAATTCAAGCTGTTTAGCAGCGAGAGGAAATACGGCTCGAACGCGTAGGATCCGGTGCGAGCGTTCCTGGTGCCAAACTTTTGAACGAAGAAGGGCATCGCCTGGGTTGTGGCAAAGGCCTTCAGGTCCATCCCGAAGTTGATCTGCGAAAGGGCCAGTAGGCCACACGAGAAGAGGAGACGGCCATTGAAGGCGCTTGTGATGCGGCAAAGGCCGCTTGTCGGATGGATCGTCGCTGCTTGCTGCATTGTCGAGGGTGGAATCGGTGTCCTAGACAATCAATTGAATAAAGATCGATGGATGTAGGCTCGAGTCCTTCCTCCCAGCAGTACTTCAGCACTCTTATTCTATCGGAGGACCATTCTATTTTATATAGATCTAGCCCAGGAGCATATGGCCTTCGTCGTTCAGAGCAGGTAGATGCTATCAGCACGGATTCGCCAGAGTTGCATATAGACAGCCAGAGTGATTCTTTCGCCACCCCACAGCCAAAGCACGCAATCCGCTAGATGATCTAGCCTAGTCTAAACCATCCAGAAAAAGTAACCAGGTGTCCCGGGACCTAGCGTGACAGTCCAGGGTTGGACATGACTCAGTAGGTACATTAGCCTGGCAACAACTGACTGATCTTAATTACGCATTTGCATCCTCGCCATTGTGATTGTTGGAAGCTGGTGCAGTTGCTGAGGAACTTTGGGACTATAACTTGTAGGGAGGTTATCGATGTCTAGAGAGAACTGTGGGCGTGTTCCTGTGCCTACGGTTAATTTGCTGTTCTACCAACTGATTGCTAGGTACTTAAGGGACAGGCCACCGGGGAGCACCGGGGAGCAGGATCGAGCTGCGGATCATGGGAGTTGAAAAGAGAGCAATTGTGTGCGCGCGTCGTGGAGACACTTGATGATACCCCCTGCAATGGATTGTCTCCCCGGGCCTCCCCGTTGTTGCAACTCCCTCATCGTTACGCCCGGACCTCCGCTTTGGCAGTCAATAGTCGCAAGATACCAGTTTGCGTGCGGAAAGTCGTCGAAAAGCTGAATGATCGGTCAATTTAGATTTTCAAACAGTCCCTGCTCCGCTAAAATCTCTCAATGGTTGTGCGAGGACAACCCAGCGTCTTCTACTTAACAATAGTAGAGTATGAGCACTAGGATTGCGCATGTGCATGCACAGATCCTCCGGCTTTGCTTCTTCGCTCGTTAAATAATTGGTCTAAAGTAAATGCTCACCGTCACCCTCACTAAGTAAGCACAACAATGTCTCAGACAACCACCACAAGGCCCAATTTCCTCATCATTGTCGCCGATGATCTCGGATACAGCGACATTGGGCCCTTTGGCTCGGAAATAGAGACTCCAGTCCTCGACAAACTTGCGAGCTCTGGTGTCAAGCTAACCAACTTCCACACTGCATCAGCGTGCTCGCCGACCAGGTCTATGCTCTTCTCTGGTACCGATAATCACATAGCAGGTCTTGGCCAGATGGCAGAGTTCATGAAAGATGACCGTTATGATGGTAAGCCGGGGTACGAGGGATATCTCAACTTCCGGGTGGCCGCCCTGTCGGAGGTGCTGCAGGACGCCGGATACAGCACATTCATGTCCGGCAAGTGGTAAGCAAGCCCAATAATCTCACTGTTGATCGCCAGCCTCTAACATGTCGAAATGCTTTAGGCACCTGGGTTTAACGAAAGAGACCGCACCCTGCTCCCGAGGCTTCGACGAAGCGTATACGTTCCTTTATGGCTGCGGTAACCATTTCAATCACGAGCCTCAGCTGGATGACCCTTCCGCGGACCAATTCGGACCAATGTCCAGTGGCAATTTCTGGATGGAGCACGGCCAGTTTCTCGACCGTCGACGTGATATTCCAAAGGATTTTTACTCTAGTACGTCCTTTGCGGACAAGCTAGTCGATTATCTAGACAACCGAACGGACAAGGCGAAACCTTTCTTTGCATATCTGCCCTTTACCGCGCCGCATTGGCCCCTTCAAGCGCCCAGACAAGTCATGGAGAAGTACAAGGGGTTCTACGATGAAGGACCCCACGTGCTAAGGGAGAAGCGCTTGAAACGCCTCGTAGAGCTGGGCATCATCCCAGGCAATGTTGAGCCTGCAGACATGACCGTCGGTGCAAAGCATGAGTGGGAGCAAATGAATGCTGAAGCGCGCGCCACGTCGGCCAGGAAGATGGAGGTGTACGCTGCCATGGTTGATGTCATTGATCAGAGTATTGGACGGGTTGTAGATCATCTTGAACAGACTGGTGAGATCGGCAACACCTTCATCTTGTTCATGTCGGACAACGGGGCTGAGGGATCGAAACTAGAAGCCGTCCCTCTCATGGGTGGGGAGACGACAATGGGCAAAGTCATCGACAAATACTACGATAACAGCTTTGACAATATTGGAATGCGGGATTCTTATGTGTGGTATGGCCCTGCCTGGGCTTGCGCCTCGATGGCACCCTCGCGTGGCTTCAAGAGCTGGATCACCGAGGGAGGTATCCGATGCCCTTGCGTCGTGCGCTTTCCCCCAGCCGTCGCCCCGTCCCTCTTACAAACGGACTCATTCTGTACCGTCATGGATATTATGCCTACGATATTAGATCTTGCTGGCATCCCTTCACCTAGCAGTCCGTTTCGTGGTCGTGAGATCGTCCCCATGCGCGGCTCGTCCTGGGTTCCCCATGTCAGCGGACGATCTGCTTCGTTCCACGATGAGGAAAAGGAAATCACAGGCTGGGAGCTATTTGGACTCCGTGCGATTCGTGAGGGGCCGTGGAAGGCGATTTACATGACCGCCCCCCGAGGCAGTGATCAGTGGGAGCTGTACAATGTGGCTCGAGACCCTGGTGAAGTCCATGACGTCTCCTTGGTAGAACCAGAGATTTTGAAGAGACTGATAGAGCTCTGGGAGATATACTATGCAGAAACGGGCATGTTTGACCCAGGGCAGGATTTCAGAATGGTAAAACATATATAAGTCATCAAACAGACTGATAGAAATCCAACCACGACGTTAGAGTGGTTTGCCCAGGACTTATTATCATGGCCATCATGACAAATTTTCCCATACGTCGAGTGGTGGGCAAGTTATTATACGGCTCAGCATATTGGCTGGGCTCAATGATCGGCCAATTGCTTTATTACAAAGAAAAGTTATTTGGTGTTTACCAGGTCCCTATATCCCTATATATACAGTGTGAAATTAATCCCCCCTATGTTCTTCTCGTGAGCCACAGCTGCTCAAAATTCCCAACTGTGCACCGTTTTTTTGCTGTTCGTATCACCACCCATCCGGTTTCCACGTACTATTAGGCGAAACAGCGGTTACAACTCCTCCATCTAGCTCAACTCGAGGCACATCAGCCGCGATCTCATGGCATCCCGGTGACGGATCTTGGAATGTCGGTGCTGGTAGAGAGAGGCTGTAACTTTGCTGCAGGCCCGTCGTTGAAGGCGAGCTGACCAGATGTTCAGTGGGATCGCTCGGGTCGCTTGGAGATGTATGGCTGGTATGACTAGATTGAAGATTACTCCTGTGAGTAACATGACTAGCAGGAGTAGCACTATGGGCATGAGGAGAAGCGTAGTGGTGAGGTGATGTCTCCTCGAGTTCCGGCCTTTCCGGGATATCTGTGTTTGGACGACGTCGGAAGAACCAGATGGCAAAGGTAATGAGGGCGATCAAAGCTACTCCGCCAACTGTGCCTCCTGCGATTGCGCCAACATTTGTGTCGCCTCCTGTAGATTCCGTTGATTGGTTGCCAGAACTGTCCGCTGAGCTGTTTGTATTATTCTGATTACTGTCTGTAGTGTTTGAGCCTACGTACGTCGCCGATTAGCACCCACAACAAGATTCGCGGCAATTATCTGGGAACTTACTTTTTGCAAACATGGCCTTGATGGAATCGCTAGCCCATGTAGGTTGTTCTCGTGAGCTGAAAACATGTCAGAAATGCGGAAATACAAAAACAAGGCATTCATCACGGCGAATAGGGGGTTACTCACGCATCAGCGTACCACTCCTTTATGACATCTGGCGAGTCATACTCCGGAGAGCTCGCATTATAGTCGTTCTTCCACTTCAACTCGGTGAGGTCCAAGATTCCGAGCCCATTTCCCCACGGATCCGGGTCGCTGAAGTTGAAGAAGCTCCTGGCACCACCGACGGAAATCATCTGGTTCTTTCGTGTAACGCAGACATGGTGCAGACGGGCAGGCCCATTGCTGAGTGCACTTGGACAGACCCAGTGAAAGTCGGGGAGTGTGAGGATGCAAACGCTGCCTTGGGTGCCGCCTTTTCCATCACCACCATAGGCATATCTACATGTAGAAAGCGGGTGTCAGTGGCCAGAATATCTTGCAGTGCATTAAATGCAATCACAAGCGATCAGAAGGAAGAGTGGCGTCAACTTACATCTCATAAGTTCCATTTTTGCCCTTTGCTCCGACGGAGCAGAACTCAGACCTATGAGTTCCAGCTAGTCCTGTGGTGTTTTGTTCGTGCCATTCGTGGGTATCAACATCATACAGAGTCACCATTGACATCGCATTCGGCTGTGTATCCCCGGTATCTGGGTTCGTGTAGCGGCCACCAAATAGCAAAACTACCGGCTTGGAGATTAAATCCTCAATGCACACGGCTTCGCCCATCTTGTGCGTTCCATATGGCTTCGGGTAGCTCGAGTTCTCATACCTCGTCCAGACTTTCGTGTCGGGGTTATATTCGAGGACTCCCTTATTCAACTTGTTGACCTTGACCTTGGCATACGTCTTGTTGCTCACGCTGCCACCGAAGTAAAGATGCTTGCCACCGCAAGTTACGGGCGTGCCACTCACTCCAGGCGGGTTGTCCTCGTCTGCCGGTGTCTCGTACCACAAGTCATTGTTCGAGGTGTCGTTCTTCAGGTACCACATCACAGGATAATCCTTTGCGACCTGCGAATCGTCGGTTCGTTCACCTCCCCATCGGAATATTTGGCCCAACTTCTGGTTGGTCCAGAGAGCGAATATCTTCACACCCAACGTTGTCTGCCCATAGCCGTGGTATGATTTCTCCACATTGGCATTGTTCCAATCACTCTTCAAGGAGATGACCGTCGTGTTTAAAACTGCGCCTTCCAGTCAGCATCTCAATCTGCCGCTGCCCATATCTTCTGTAATTCTTTATCTGACGTACCCGCTCTCGTGTTGTATTCTGTACCCTCTGGCAGTGAGCCGTTGACATGATTCGACATGGATCCGCCATCGATGTAAAGATTATCGCCCAAGATTGCGGCTACAGCATAAGAATGGTCAGTGATCTCCCGCCAACAATGAAGCGGCGTTCGCAAAGGGCATACATACCGTTGTGCCAGAAGCGCCTCTGGTATATCGTGAGGTCTTCACCCGCGACTAGCCCCGCGGCGAGCCACAGGTAGGTAAGGAACGACAGTTGAAGCATGGTGATGGCTGTAGCCCGCTTCGCGATGAAACAGCTTCTCGTGGGAGGACGTGGGAGGGATCAACAGCATTTGACGGCAGAGGACTGCATACTAAAGTCGCGGGAGGTGGCCCATCCCTTACAAGCCGCCAAGTCCCGCGCCCCCTGCTCGTTCAGGTATTTTGTCGACACCACTCGGCATGAATCCTTTGCCTTTTGACATGGGCCAACTGCGGATACAGTGGAGCCATTGGCAGCTTAAATGGACTTTGGGTTGCTTGATGGATCTACTAAACGAATCGCCAGCCATGAACATCTCAACATCCAGCCACCGGAATGCGCTCGTCGAAGATTTTCAAGCCCTCAGAACTCTGCCCAGTCGTCCATCAAGTTGCATCAACTAGCCTAGACTCATTCCCTGCAGTGTGAAGCTTATTACAAAGAAGACTCGCGCCATGGCGCCACGGCCTGTTAGTTCCGGATGCAATGTCGGGCAGATACTTACTTAGGAAATGGCCGATTCACAACACGCATGTAACCGCGTGTAACAGGTTTTCGAAGCACCGCAACCCCTCCGCATACATCCAGTGCCCCGTCAATCCTTCGGACTGCCCCATTCTCTCCCGCCAGCCGCTCTTGGCGACGCACTCACTGGCTCCTTGTCGAACCGAGCGCCCCTGAATACCCCGAAACGACAATCGCCGAACGGCATAGTTATATTTGGCACAGGGATCATGTCACCTCGAATCCTGGGAGGCGTTCTTCGTAGTACACCACCAAGAGCCGAAGTAGTTAGAGCGCCTGTCCGGCTTTGCGCACATTTAACCAGACTGCTACCCTTCGTATCGCTTTTTTTCCACCTCTCTCTGTTTCACCATTTGTCAATATTGCCTCGGAAGAGAGGAGCGAAAGTCTTGGCCGGTGGCGGGAAAACTGGCGGCCCGGATCGGGGTGGATGAATTCGCTGTTGCATTCCAATCTCAAGTTCTGTACTTTGGTAATGAACGACTAGTCCAATTTGCTTTCGAATACGGACATCTCTTTTGATTCTAGACCCACGGACATGACCATAAAAATAAGTGACCCAACCTCATCCCAGCAACTGGGCCAAACGTCAATTCCAGGCCTAGAACAAAAATAACACACCAGAAGTTCAGAACAAGTCCCGCAGCAGGGGGAAATCGCGTCATTGAAGGCAAATCATTTAACGGTCGCCTACTTGCATAGAATTCAGCCAATCACACTCATCTTGGAGGCAAGGATACGCGCCGAAGCCTCGCAAGACGAGCTTGGCCAAACTATCCCCCAGGTCACAAATCTACAATACAGGGTTCGTCGGCGATGGTCAAGCCAACCCTTTACGAATTAGTTGTCTAGATTCTTAAATTGAATACGATGACGACAATGCGGCTCTTTTTCAGCGATCCCGAACGTGGCTACTTCCATGTGTAAATTAGGCACCCATCACAAGCAACCCGCTTTTAGACGCGTAGTAGAATTTCGAGCTTTCATAAATAGATTCTAGGTAATTAGAGTACGATAGTATCGATAACGTTGCCCTTGTTGAGATGCATTGCTATTAGTAAGGTTCTGGACGTGATGCATGCCTCAGTCGCATTGAGAAGCCAAAACATAACAGCCTTAGGTAATCAACTGTGTAATATTGGTGGTTCCCAAGTGATAAAAAGAAAAACTGTTCACTGCTCTTAATTATCCAGGCCTTGAACAGCTGAGTTTTTGCTGAAGGCAAGGTGTACTTCAAATCAGACAAGAAGGTGGTGTGTATGGGGATGGTTGTTCGGAGGGTATAGGGTAGGGCTGAAGCACTGGCCTGTTGTGTTAATTTAGATAAACGATTTATCGACAGATGCGCATTGTTACTTGGGCTTTTCATTAGTATACATAGGCATTGATTAAGTGCTAAGAACTGTAGGAGCATCGCGTTGCTTTAAGTCTGTTCATTTGTATATTATCTGAGCATTCCGTGTACCTTTGGAAATAAGAGGATTCAAGTCAGTGTGAATAACTTAATTAGGCAAAGCTGAAAAAGAGAACGTGTTGTCCGACCCCTTCAGGGGTTGGATACAGTTTCCAGCTTTGCATATTCACATGAGGGCAGGTCGCTCTACATATCAACAGTTATTAGCTGCTGGATTCTCAAACAGTCAGCTACTAGTCGAAAGAAAATTAGCCCTCGCGTCATCCCATTATCAATAATGCCATTCTAAAGCTTGAGGAAGGTGTTTTGTAGTATAGTGAGGAAGTATACACGCGTCTGTTATGAACCTTATGAATATGATCAACAGCTACAGCCTCGAGCAGGTAAGTCAGACCTCTTCTTGATCTCGCTGATAGCGATCTAGATAAATACAATCAACAACCACAGCCTCGAGCGGCCTCAATCAGGTAGGTTTGATCTTATCCACGCTGACTCCCGCGAATAGGATCAGCAGCTGCAGCAACCGGCAGGTCAGTCGGACCCCTCCCTGATATCGCTAGCCGTGATCCAGATGAAGGCAATCAACAGCCGTATTATGCACGAGAATAGGGTACAAGTGGTCGCCTTCCGAGAACTTGCATACATCTCTTCTCTTCTTCTTTAGCCAAGATTGCACTGCGAGAAAGCATCACAAATAGGACCATATTGCCTGTCAAGATTTATATACAACTCTGACAGTGGAGACCTTGTCAGGACGCCCAATCAACTTCTTGATCTCCTTGCACATGCATATTACTACGCCACCTAAGCGATGTCAGCCGCACCAAAGCCCCCCGCTTTAGATCCTTCAACATCGAAATGCATCCATATTTGTCGCAATCTTCTCAAATATATCTGACTCTACGTCTTCTACGAACTGTATCAACCCGTGGGCTTGAGTGAAGGTGAAGGGGGCGTGCATGGACACCAATCGCATGCCCCAAGAGCGCAGATGCGGAGCTCTGCGAGGCTCGTCTGGCGCTTACTTGGAGCTGGCAACCACGGCCATCTTAGTTGAACAAGATTCACCTCGACGAAGATGAGACGGACCGTCTTTAGGTTGAGGCAATTGCCTCCTACGACTGATAGACTGGATATCATCAACCTATTGACGGAATCCACCGGGGTCAAGGCTTCGGCAATCAAGGTCTTCTCATTGGCGCGTTCTGTTGATATATATAATCCCAGCAGCAAAATAGCGACACTGATGTTTGATCCTGAGATTGACATCTATTTGTCCCTTAAAATCTTCGCCACTGGGAACTCCGGCGATGAGTGGAAAATCAAGATTGATAACCTTCCACACACTCTTATTTTGGACACTCATTTTAGAGGCTTCACTCCACTTCATGATCCAGAAGACCACCAGGCAGAGTCAGTACTTAGGTCAGTCCAAATACACGTATATGTCTAACAAAGAGTGATAGTTGCATTGCGCTTTCCGGACTGGCCAGCCACCCGTTTGGCTCATGGCAACAGAAGGATGGGTCGAAAACATTCATGTGGATTCGTGATGCACTGCCCAAGTCCTTGCCGAGGGTGAGGCCAATTCTATATGGATATGATACTGTGTTACAGAACAGCAATTCATTCCAATCTATATTGGATATCGCTTGTGGCCTCCTCAACCAGTTGCGAGCTTGTGGCTGGGCATCACCAACTGCAAAGCCTCTCCTGTTCCTTGCGCATAGCCTGGGCGGTCTCGTATTAAAACAAGCCTTCGTATCCCTCGCCAATACTTTGCAATCAGATAACACGTTGAGAGGTTCAGTCAAAGGAGGCATCCTGTTTGGTGCTCCTAATTTTGGCATGGAGCAGACAAGTCTGCTGTCTATGGTGAGAGGGCAATCTAACGAGGGGCTTGTTCGAGACCTAGCCCTAGGTTCCCAGTACCTCTCCCATCTTGATAAGCAGTTTGCTGGCCTATCATTTCTTCAGGACGCTAAAATTTATTGGGCCTACGAAACAAGACAGTCCCCAACAGTTATGGTTAGATACTCCATTAACCTTTCGCCTTTGCTTGCTAACGTTTACTCCTTAGCAAGATTCCGATCAAAATTGGTCTAGAAGTGGCCCAGAGAAGATCCTTGTGACCCCTTACTCAGCAACTCGAGGTTTATATACTCGCAAAGATCACACAGAATATGTATTTCCCATCAATGAGGATCACTCTACAATGGTTAAATTCTCAGAAGATGACCACATATACTCTGTTCTCGTGCATAAGTTATCCTCTATCATGGAGAAAATCGAAACCGATATTCGTCACGAACTTCTGCGGACTGGCTCAGCATTGTACCAGGCAGTCGAAATGGGAGATGACTCTCTGTCGATCGACACGTTTGATGGCATGCCACCAGATAGTGAAGCTCCAAGCACTTCAAACGCCCCAACCATGGATGGTAAGCGAGAGTGTAAAAGTTGAGGGCTTTTGAGCGCTACTGATTCCGTTAAATAGAGGTCCTAAAGTCTTTGGAAGTACCTGAACAGCATCGTCGGTTAGATGAAATTGAAGAGAGGTTCAAGACAACTTTGGATTGGGTTTTTGACCTTCCCGAGTCTGGTTTCAGTGATTGGTTGCAGCATGGCACGGGCATCTTCTGGATCAATGGTAAACCAGGCTCTGGAAAGTCCACTCTGATGAAGTTTATTGTTCAAGATACTAGAACGCACACGCTACTATCGGATTGGAAAACGAGACACTCTCCGATATACGTATCCTTCTTCTTTCACCATCGAGGCACATCTGTACAAAAATCATTTGAAGGCCTCTTGAGAAGCATTATTCACCAGATACTCAGCAGCCAGCCGGATTTCAACACAATACTGACTCAGTTCATTGAAGGAGGTGACTTTGTATCCTCTGACTGTTGGACTCTGCTCAAGCTTCAGACTGTATTGCATGAAATACTTGAGCAAACAGCTATACCTTTGCATCTCACCATATTCCTCGATGCCCTCGACGAGTATGACGGACCAAAAGAGTTCATTTGCAGATTCTTAATCGATATTGCAAATATAGCTCAAACACCTACTAAAGACATTCGCGTCTGTTTCTCTAGCAGACCCTGGGACATCTTTGTTGCCAACTTCCAGAAGTACCCCACCCTCCGGCCTGAGGATTTCACTCGAGAGGATATCATGAGCTACTGCCTCAACTCCCTCAAGAATGAAGAGATTTCATCCTCAGACTATGAGAGCCTGATCACCGAGTTAGTTGGTCGCTCTCGGGGCGTATTTCTTTGGGTTAAACTGGTAGTGAAGGACCTCGCTATAGCTATCCAGAATAACCAGAGCAGGGAGGAGCTGGGGAAATATCTTCGGTCGCTGCCTATCGAGCTCGATGACTACTACGCCGAGATTATTACCCGTATCCCTCTCTCCCACAGATGGAAGACCTACGCAATGCTTGAAGTGGCAGTTCGGCCAGAGGAACCCTTGGAGGCCAGAGAATTCATATGTGCTGTTGAGTGCTCAGACTGCAAAACGTACCAGGCCGGTATCGCCACACTGCTGAAGTTTCGGGAATACTCAGATAACAATTTCTCGGGCTTTACCCAACGAAGATCCAAGTTCCACTGTGGGGGCCTAGTCGAAGTCCTGACTACTGGGACTGTCCAGGTCCTCCACCAAACCGTTGTTGACTTCGTTTGTGATACAAAATTCAAAAGCTTGATCCTTCAAGAACGCGCAAAGATCACAATGGATAACGGATGGACTTTCTTGGCAAAGTATCGATTGTTGGAATCGGAAATTGTCGAAAGCCAGGGCTGGCATATTACAAAAGCCGTGAGATATTCGATCGAGTCAGAAATGACAACTGGGCGTGGCCTCAAGTTGTTCTTGGACACTTTTCCTCCATCATTCTTTTGCAGAGGAGGTGGCGATGATTCTTGTTCGACTACAGCATTTGGCTTTGCTACGCTTACGGGACTTCGCTTATACATGATCGAGACGTTGGAGGTTGATCCCCAAGCCTTGGACAACTGCCCGGATCCTCTGTTGGCTTTGGCTGTCACTCGACTCGCAAACTTTCCTGATAAGGACATCATAGCAACGACTACGCTCATTTTGCAGAGAAGAGGCGAATGGGTGCGACGACTGGATATCACAGTCCCTGTAATGCGAACAATATTAAAAAGAAACACGTTGTTTCAGTGGGTAGCTGGACACGAAGATGCTGACTTCGACCTTGTCAATTTGCTAATTGACTGGGGAATATCTCCCGACATTGATCTTGGACGTGGGTTGAGACCTATACATGTGGCCTCACTGGGCCTAACAAAACTACTTATGGACAAAGGGGCAGATGTGAACTCTTTAAGCGAGTGTCAAATGACGGCTGCCGATTATCTAGCCCAGGCGATGCTTTTTGCACACTCCATGGCAAGCTTGACGGACGATATTTCATTGTTTCTCCCATTCGATATCATATCATATCTCCCAAAAAGTCTTGACACGTTACTCTTGCACTTGTTGCCACACATTGATTTTCTCAGCGACAATGAGGGCAGGTTCCATTGGACGAAAGCTGATACATTGTACCTGATATCGGGGGATCTCTCAACAAGCACTTTTCAGAAATTGCTGAGAATGGCAAGCCACAAGGAACCTACAGAGGGCCATACAGCAAAGCTTGAAGAGAAAAGTGTAGATTTCGCGTCCCCTGAAAAGTCGAAGTTTCATAAGAGACTCGCTCAAGTCTCCCATCGGTTAAAGCGGGCAATGAAACGATAGTGTTGTCTGGAATCTGATTAGGAAGGTTATCTGAGTAAACACCGCGTCTTCGCTCTGTTTTCTTAGCGTTCATGGAGGACTAGAATTACCCATCATATTATACGTGAGAGCTGTACTGCCCTTCTGTCAATTGATGCCCGTTGGCCTGTAATATATCAAACGCATCCTTCTGACACGACTTGTAGAGATCCGTGAGCACAGGTGGGCTCTGGTCAAGGTAAGCCTCATGAACATCAAAGATGCCGCCATTGAGTAGGATGGCCTTCACTCTGGGCTCGAAAGCCGCAGCCCGCGCCGCGAGATACCCGCCTATTGAATGGCCGTAGAGAGCGAGAGTTTTGTATCGACTTCAGCACGTTTATTTGCCAGCAGCCAGTCGACGGTTGGCGTGCTCCCAGTTGGAGATAAAGCCTAGGTTCTGGTTTCGATGGACAGTAGGTTGTCCGGATCCTTCGTAGGTCAGGGCATTCTATCCACGAGCTAAGGCATTTGTCACGATGGTGTGATATATGTCCTACGCACCGTCATATCCGCCTCCGAGAACCAAAATAGGGTTCTTCTTATGTTTGCCGCCTGAGTATGCCGAATACCAGATAGCCTCAACAGTAAAGTTGCCGGCCGGTATTCTGATACGTTGCCCAGGAATTGGTAGCGCGTTCATTCCCTCGTCGAAAGCTGAAGCATGTCTTCCTAGAGTTGGTTGTTCAGTGACTCATCCCAGTGTCCGTGGGTGAACGAATCTGCCCGGCGAAAGTAACTTGCTGCAGAGAACCATGTATCGCGCACATTTATTCTGCACCTCAGATTTATCATTATTTAGTTAGCACAGCTATTTATGAACACGCCACACTAATATTAGAAATGACGTTACTCCTTTCAACCTGCCGTGCATCAAACAGACGACATGGAACGGAACTATGCCTGGATAGATCAGAAAGGAGGGGGCTCCTGGTTGCTAATGGCAGATTTAGAGTTCACTGAGGGAGTCCAGTGATGAAAGGAGTCATGATGGCGAACTCAACACCACTTAGCTTGGAACCTTAGTTTAGCTAGCTCTATCGAGTCTCATTGTTTGGGCTGCCTAAATCAAAGCATCACGAACCGCTGGCTTGTATGAATTGTGCTTCTGGTGTTCAGAGCGGTTGTTATTCTATCTGCGTTGAGCTACGACCACGATCGTGGCGTTTACTCCCGAAGTTGTTAGGAAGATGTGTTAACCGACTCAAAGAACGTACTATTGACCTATCACGAGTCTTGGATGGCTTTGAGTTCTCTCAAGGTAGAAGACTCTTAATAGGCCGTCGTCACAGGAAAACGGGCATGTTTCTTGCCACTAGGGAATTATCACCGCGAGTACGAGACGCAAACAGGGTGGTGAAGTTGTAGGTAGCCCAACAAGCACATCTTATGAAATCTGAGAAACTCAGGCTATTCGCCTCGCTCATTTCCATAGACGTATACCGGGGGCGAGTCGGTATAATTTCATCTGTGCGGAGCATGCCTCCTATATTGCACCACTTATGACTCGGGCATTCGAGTCTCTATCTCGGAAGAACTAGTAAATTTGTACCATGAACTGCATCAAATGGCCCAATTGCTAGACAGTCATTTGAAAATCTGATAGCGACGAGCGACTTGCTTTGGTGAATACTGGTGCGCGGTACAAGGCGTAGACATATATATGCTCCTTGAGACCTCATCATAAACCTAAACCATTGCGAAGAGCGGAAGAGCGACAAAATTACATCGCATTCGATCTAGGATACGGCCCCAAGGCTGACAAATGCGAAAAAAGGCAGGGAAGACTATTGGTACAGTTACGACGAGTGTATTCAGAGTGATTGATGGGCCCGTTCTAGCCTAGCCTAGCCTCTGTGTGCGGTAAACATGATTGAAAAGCAACTTAAAGTCCTACTATCCATAAGAAGTGTGAAAATTTTCATGCCGAAAATAGGAAACAGTATCCTCTCCGTGCTGTGAGTCAGGCTCCCCATGTAGGAGCAGGAACACCCTGTCAATTGTCTCAGTAGAAGCTCTCTGGATGATCAAATTTTGACGCAAAGAATGCATGAATTCCAAGAAGTGGCCAGTCACGCCAGGGCAGAATTACACGTTGAGTGATCCTTGGTTCTCGCTGTACGCGGCATTAGTCAGTGTCTTAACCCGATGTAATCAGCGTGCTCTTCGATCCTCCGATCACAAAAGATCTATTCACCTCGTTTTAAAGGAAGATCTTTAGACATTTTATGACTAATGTCCCGGCGATCGCAAAATGAAGTCTTTATTAGCGATCTGGGCCAAGTAGCTAAGGCTGCTTCCCCGGAATTCCCCATTGTTGTCTACATAATTGACTACCAATTACATCTAAGCTCAAGCGGACTAAGCTGCTCGTTTTATCAATGACCATCAGAAGAAGCTCCATTCAGCGAGTTATCATTCTTGTCTGACATTTGTGGCTGATGGTGTTGACTCGTAGGCTCCGGCGCCAACAGTGCCGGTTTTCCCACCGTCTTTTCCAAGGTTAGAGTGTTCCACATCTTTCATATCGCCCTCGTGATCTCCTGTCGCTTGTAAGACTCCCTAACAGTTTCTTAACATTGAGAAGTTGCTTGAAACTGAACATCGTGCGTACTGTCCCTTTCGATCACTTGAATCCATCTACACGGATCACGTGTGGAACTTTGACCACTCGACAAAAGAACAAGTCAAGTTTAATACACAGCACTCAGATTCAATTATCAATGTGTATTTAATATCTTTTCTAATCTGTTAAGCATTTGCTATCACGAGGGATTTTTGTTGATGGCCTCGGTGTCACTTAGTTAGTTTAATGCTAGGCTAGATAAGCATCCGCATTTCAAATGACGAGCGGGGATATCTCAGGGGGGCCTGGGGGCATTAACCAAATTAGTTAGGCCAAGCCTGTCAGCAACGATCTTCCGTGGGGGTGCTGAGCTGAGGAAGCAGAAGTCCTTGTGCTGGCACCGGTATCTCGCATCACACCCTCGCCTCACTTGTGCTCGGAGGGACTGTGCATGTAGATGAGGCCCACTGGCCCAGAATCTTTCCGCCTTAGCTCATGTGTTTAGGCAAAGTGATCACCTGCCCCTGATAACACATCAACAGGGTCGCCTGACTCAGTGCCTGATTCGGTCTCGCGCAACCGCGTGGCCAGATCCCAACCCCTCAGGGCCTTAGCTTCCTTTAGCCCCGCGCTTGATGGACAGTCCACGAGGCGATGATTCTTGGATCTAACGTAGCATCTGACTTGGGTGGCCAAACTGGGCTAGCGGATGTGGTATGACATGGCGGCGTTGCTTATCTTTGTCTGCGGTTCTTGTGCAGCCGACACATTACACGCTGGTGGAACTGGCCGAAGATAAGGCCTTGTTTTCTGGGTTGGGACAAAAGAAACTAAGTGACCCCTAATGCGAGGGGGGGCTCGTTATAAGGTTGCGTTGGAATGTTAGGCCATGTCTCGTATGTTGTTTCCACCCAGACTCCATCTCTGCTCCCTTGCAATATGCGTCCGAAGCTCTCACGTGTTTTCCCTGTCTTCGTTCTTTTGGCACGAGAAGTATTCGCCGCGCCCATCGCCGACAGGACCACTTGCCAGAAAACCCAGGTGGCGATTCTCGGTGCTGGCATCGCCGGAGTCACAGCCGCACAAGCCGTCTCCAACGCGTCCATCACCGATTTTCTCCTGATCGATCGCAATGACTACATTGGAGGTCGCGTAGTGAATACAGACTTTGGCAAAAGGCCCGATGGCTCGCCTTACACGATCGAACTCGGTGCGAATTGGATACAGGGCCTTGGCTCTGTCAACGGCCCCGAGAACCCAATCTGGACCTTGAGCAAGAAATATAGCATCAATAGCACCTTCTCCAATTATAGTGCCATTCTGTCCTATGACGAGACCGGCCAAGTTGATTATCTGCATTTGCTCGATGAGTACGACAGGGCGTACGAGGAAGTGCAGAAGCAGTCCGGATACATTCTAAATCTGAACCTGCAAGACACCAGTGTCCGCACAGGCCTGTCCCTAGCAGGATGGAATCCTCAAGGGAACTCACATGCACAAGCTGCGGAGTGGTGGGGATGGGACTTCAATGCTGCCCAGCCACCTGAGCTCAGCAGTCTGCTCTTCGGGGTGGCCGGCGATAACGCTACCTTCAACCATTTTAGTGATGAAAACTTCTTCGTGACGCATCAAAATGGCCTGAATGAATTCATACAACTCGAGGCCCACCAGTTCCTGAAGAAAAATGATCCTAGAATCCTGCTGAATACAACTGTCACATCCATCCAGTCCTCGGAAGACTCGGTAGAGGTGCATTTCGAAAACGGAGACTGTGTCGAGGCTGAACATGTCATCTGTACTTTCTCCATCGGTGTTCTCCAAAATAACGTGGTCGAGTTCAAACCTCAACTCCCTCTCTGGAAGCGAGATGCTATCCAGTCCTTCAATATGGGGATCTATACGAAAATATTCATGCAATTCAATGAGACATTCTGGGACGATGATACACAGTTCTTTCTCTACGCTGACCCATACGAGAGAGGGAAATTCCCCGTTTTTCAGTCCCTCACAGGTCCTGAATTTCACCAGGACTCACATATTATCTTCGCCACTGTTGCGGCTGGCCAGGCACAAGTGGTGGAGAAGCAAACGGACGAGGAGACGCAGGCCCAGATTATGGAGGTCCTAAGGTCCATGTTTCCTGACGTCAATGTCCCCGATCCTATAGCATTCATGTATCCTCGCTGGTCCGAGGAAAAGTAAGTTCCCAGTCCGAAATCCGATGTGGAGGAGTAACTAACAATATGAAGATGGGCATATGGGTCCTACAGCAACTGGCCCGTCGGCGTGACCCTCGAGAAACACCAAAACCTTCGAGCAAATGTCGACAGACTCTGGTTTGCCGGAGAAGCTTCCTCGTCTCTATGGTTCGGATACATGCAGGGCGCCTGGTTCGAAGGTCAAGAGGTCGGACAGCGCGTTGCAGGCATGTTGGGCGCCCGTGTTCCTATGAAGAACCGGGGATCGATGCGACACTATAACGTCCTGCACGGCACAAGCTTTGCGGATGGATACGATGATGAGCATGGATGGAATGTCGACACGTTTGCCGATCAACAGCCACGAAAGCTAAGTCGAGTGAAGGCTGCAACTGCTGATGAGCAGATTCCTTTGTAAATTACGATCTATGAACTGTTAGAAGATTTGGTATGTTAAGGAAGCAAGCATATGTT